AACTAAGAATGTTTTTCCTTACATTTATCTTTGTTAAAATTATATTTGCTGCAGAATCCAATCATATAAGCTAATTAAAAGTGAAATCTTTACTCTCCGTCAGTGTTTCGTCGTGACATAATTTTCACACTGCGGAACAAAGTAATATTTAAAGCACTAAGGACATCAATAACTATTACAAAAAGAATATGTAAACAAAGTTTAATCAAAAACTAGGTAGATTTATTGATATTCAAAAAGACATAAAACAAAAAGAAAATTAATTTTAAATAAATTGAACTGCATATAATAATTAAGAAATCACTTTCCCACTTCTTGTATTTGACGGTAACAATGCGAAATGTAAATGAGGATTTCATTTTCCTACGTAAATTAGTTTCTTAAGAGTAGATTTCACATATGGACAGTCTTATTGACATTATTTCAAGCTACACTATGTAAGATTGAGCTATGAGTACAAAATCACATAAGTGTAATTAAAAGTGTTAGTTGTTTTTGAAGTAATGTTGGGTAAAATAACATCCAATTTGGCGATAATACACGTCCAATAAAAAACAACTTGGTTATTCTGTAATATAGGCAACTTAGAGGTATGGTGCAGTGACAAATATTAACAATAGTTATTATTATCTGACAAAATTGTGGGTGATTATATTTATAAATTACTAAGTTTGTAAAAATTAACAGATTCTTTTTAAAATAAAACTTTATTATACTTTTCTCTTTGCTACAATTTAGTTAATATACCAATGCTATTTATTACGTAAAGCCATAAATCAATATTATACCTGTTTCACCCGTTTATTGGGCAAATAACCGTTGGAATTACTAAAGAGGTTGCTGAAAACGTCTAGATGCCAAAATTTGACTATTCATCCCATTGAAAATTTTACAGCGACATTTAAAATTATTGCCAAGTAAATGTCTTGATATTTTTAACCTTAGGCGTGTCAGTTTTTAACGAAACATGAAAACAAATTTAAAATTTATTTTAGAAACTTCAAAATCGATTGTTTTAAAATTTTGCGCATACTTTAATTATCCTCAAGATGGTAAAACGTTTATCAGGTTTTATCTGTTTCTGTTTTATCTGTTTCTGCCTTCCAAAATTTAATGACACCATATCAGACCTTTACGTACTAATACGTTTCGTCTGAAATTTGTGTATATATTGTGACATGTTCCTTTATATTCTACATATCGTTTACTAATGCATCTACACGTTTTTCGCAACTGTAACTGATATGGTAGCTATAAAAATGTGGTGGAAACTGTAATAATACCGATCGTGTAAATACATGGTTTCCCGGTCGTTCCATTATCAGTGTCTCTGCGTGTTACGAGCTTTTTTTTTACTTGATTAAACTTCATTTTTTTAATAATAAACCTAACACATTTTGTAGTGACACGAACCTAAACGAATGTTGCGAATTAGAAGCTTGCATTACAGTATAATGGTAAAACTAGTGTTTAAAATTTTTGGCGTTGTCTACCTGAAAGTTGCCGTCAAATATCTGAAATGCATAGAGTATGAGTCATGTTTCAAAAGGCAAGGGCAATACTGTCTAAACTCTTTGGAACATTTTGTTTTGTGGTTCGAACACACTCACACTCAATGACTTTACTGAAAAATTAAAGAATTTTGGAATTAAATAAAATAATCTCCCATAACTTGGATTTTACATATGAGAGGAAACATAAGCAAAAAATATGTCTGAATTAAATTTTGGCCCACAATTTTCAATTCATGATTATATTTGAAAAACTGAAAGCAATCTAAATGATATGATAACACAAGTTTTGTACAGATTCAAAAAACTAATCGATAGAAAAACCAAGTTTTCAGCCATAGTACATAGTAATTAATAAGTGACAAATATCTATTACAGACACCTCTTGAGTCACGAGGGTTTTATAAAACGAGTGTCTAGAGAACATCAACTAACATCATGAATATCAAAGGTTTTGTTAAACTGTGACTTTTACTTACGAACACAGAGCTCAGCATTAATGATTTCAAAAGATCAAACATGCCATTAACACAATTTGGCCTGTAACGACTCTTGACGCTGCTCCATACACTACCTTTGGCCCATGAGATTTTCAGTATACCTACAGATTTATTCACGAGAAGATCCCCGGCTAAAAAATTCAAAACGAAATACAATTTCAAAACCATCTTTGATATTTCATATCATTTTTTTTTTAACTAAAACAGTTATCGGTTTATGTAACAACTAACAACATTGACATATTGTCAGATATTATTATCACGTTGAAACTTATATTTCGTCAAAATTGATGCTAACAACGAAAAAGTGGTTTTGATATGTTCCGAGTTGCTTCACGGTTTTGTAGCGAAAATTATCCGTACAGGAGATTCCCTCACGAGTTCTTATTATAAATGTGTTTGTTTTTAACTTTAACCTAATCATTGGCGTTTATTTCCAAATTATCATAACCCAATAGCTAACTATGTATGTTTAAGTTAAAACAGAAATGGTAAATATCACACTGCTATGAAATTGTACTGTTGGTTGCATTTTGAATTTTTCAGGCGTGGAGCTTCTCGTGAATAAGCCTGTGTTTTCAGACCGTACGAAATTTTAAATACCTATAACCCGTCCACACCCTTCTATCTAACGCAAAAGCAGTTTAAAAAAAAAACACTATTATATGTATATGGAAATTTCGTAATGCAGTTTCCACCACTATTTTCAGCTTACCGAACTCTATACACTACCCAGGAAACATTGTCGATTTTTTTATCGGAAATGAGATACACTAAAAAAGCGCGTGTATTCAACAAAGGAAATCGACAATATTTTCCGCGTAACGTATACGCTTTATAAGTTGAAAACAGTGGTGAAAACCGTAAATCCATAAATAATTGAGATCTTGACTTAAAAAAAAAGGTAATGAAAAATTTCACCAAAACTTCAAAAAGACTGATGATGGTATGATGGTGAACTATTTTTAAGAAAACTTCCGCTGTGCTATGCAGAGCAACTTGTGGACAATTTATATTTAAAATTTCATAGCAATAAGTTTATTATAACAACGGAGATATTACATTCTGAAAATGCAAGTGAGGAAATAGGGGAAATAATAAATATCAGAACCAGAATCTACCAAAACGATTTTGCAGCCGGCCAATCACTCGTTGTCGCCTCACCCGCAACTCGTAATTCACACGATGTATTACAATGTTCCATTTTAAAACAAATCCAACAGATATGAAAACGTCAAAATTTACGAACTGTCAATTTTACAAGAAATAACTTCAAGCCGTGACTAAAAAGAGCGCCGCCAACTTCAGCCGGGCTGTTTAGTAACAGCTGTGTTCGTATTTAAAACCGAAGTTAACGCCGTCAAGATGACAACAGTGACATATATGTTTTTGAAGGATCGTTCCATAAATTCTCTAATGAAGTTCAGTTTTGCTGAAATATAAATCTGTATTTTTTGATCATAAAAATGAAAACTACTACTGAGGTCATTTAATAACTGCAACGATTTTGTTCGTCAAAAAGACATATTTTTGTCAATGGCACAACAAAACAACAACAAGTTCTACCATAGTTAGAGAATAAAATAAAATAAAATAATAAATAAATATCTAGAAAATACTTTTTTTCTAGAAAGACGAAGATGACGTTTTATTACATACAAAATAAACGAATCTTGTATGTGGTCAATAAAAGGAAACATCCACTTTCGGCTCTTTCAAAAAAATTACATTTTATTGAATCAATACTTTAAAGTAAACGTATATTTTGTAAATTTAACAATTTGCAAACTAATTACACAACATTTTTTCCAATAAAATTTTAAACCATAATATGCACACAGTATATTTGTGCATCTTTTATTGTCTAAGGAATTTTTTATTTCCTATAGATATATGTATATAATTCACTTTTTTGCCATAGAAAACTCTGTTACTGAACATATTAATGAAGATACGTTTTTTATTACTTGCTGAATACGTCAAAAAATACGATATTTGGAGGCTACGTATGTAAAAATTAAACATAAAAAACACAAGGACGCAACATTTGTACTGTGTAATAACCGACCGGTATTTGTTATTCAAAAACATTATAATTATGCTGACTTTATAATCAGTTTAAATTTCCCCGACAACTACTTTCAAGTAATCAGTAATCACTTAATCAGCTTAATAGTCAAAGATTCCGCAAATGATACACCTGCAGGGGAAGTTGCTCAGCCTATTGATTACTCAACTACACCGAACAGATTTTTTTATAAATGTGACACGAATTTTTGCAATAAAATAATAAATGAATTCATGGTGACTTTTATAACATTTTCATTTAGCAATTGTAATTTCTTGTACTTACTATCAATTTTTCAAAAACTGCTACTTCAGACTACAGGTACCTATAATGTTGGAATTTTACATATGATATATAGTAATTTCCTGCGTTAAGTATCGGTACATTATTTTAAATTTTTGCCTAAATTAAGATTATCACGAAACTAATAATGATAATGAGGGTTTAAACGATTTATAAATATAAAGTAACTTCTTGAAGGCACCTTTGATTGGTTATCAGTATTTTACTTAGAATTCATAAAACACGTGACACAAAAAACTTAAAAAGTTTGTTGCAGAGAAATTTTGTCGGTATAGTCTATGAGGTTGTTTGAGTCTTTAACTCTTCATACTAATTAATGAACTTGACTTTGAATGGACACAAACTTCCGGATACTACCACGTAACGGCGGACGACGTAAACAATTTCAACTGTGACACAATATGCAATAACATAGAAGTGAAAAACAATAAACGTTTTGATAATACATTTAATCCCTAACAAAAAATACTTTTTACAGTTATCATTACGACCGCGATAAAAGTTTTAAAGTGGTAAACAAAATTCGAACTACGTAGTACATGTTCAGGTAACATTTATAAATTTCAGATCACCTGCATTATTATTTGGCTTTTACAAGAGTAAAGAAAAGGGACTTACCCTCGAACAGGTAGACGGTAGTGACACGAATTCTTCGAAAATTACAGGTCCTGCCGCATTACCACCTTCAGTACAGTATATAAAAAGGAAATTCACTTTGACTTTAATTCATCAAAAGTCATCACTGTCACGTGAAATGTCAACTGTAAAAAAATTGACAAGTATAGGCGGCTCGGCAGAGCAGTTGCACCACAACTCACTGACGGCTAGACAGCATCTAGACACACTGTGTGCGCGATGCTTGCTGGTTTCTACACCACGCTTTCGCTATCGAATGGGAGAGTGATACAGGGAGATAAAGCACAAAAAGAGAGTGGGGGCGGTGAGCTTTACGATAGGCTGCGACACAGCTTCCTACCGATCGATGAAAATTTCCTTAGGCTTGCTGTGTTTAGATAAGCATTTATTTAGGCATGAGAAACGGAAAAATCAACTTTGTACATTCGACGTCAGGGCGACCAGGAATAAGTGTACTATTTTTTATATTCAGTTGTCGTGTATTTTCAGTAACATGTGCACATGTGCTACCAAATAAATAAAGAAAATTTTCCCAATTTTTATTTTTTGAACTGGCACGGAAAATGCGTTGTAACCGCTATGCTAAAGGCAGAAAATTAGAACGTACTGTTTAGAAGTTACTAAAATATAACCAGGGAAATTGCATAAATAAAAACATATCTTTTAATGGTCGTATATACTTAATTACGTACAAAATTTCAATTATATAACTCTAACTTTTAAACAAATTAACTATTATCTGCATAATTTTGAACATTTGTTAAAAAAAACATACATTGCTCATAATTTATAGAATTTTTGTTTTGTTAAACTACACAGGAAAAATTAACAATAGTCACTACTGTGGTATAGTTCTTATTTATTTTACGTCTTTTACTTTAGTACCATTGTTGTGACTTGTATGTAAAAGTAAATTCGTGAATTCAAAAAGTAGTAGTATAGTGTTACGGAAAAATTCGATTGGAAGTATTTCAGTTATGGCTCAACTATTTATGAAATAGAAAGTATCCTTTAGTCATAAAGTTCCAGTACCACACTTTTTACGCAAATGTACAACTTGTGACCTCACATTTAAAAATTCTAGACATGAGTAACGAGGTACTTTTTTTAACATTAATGGTTTCTGTAGAAAGTTTAACAGTCGGAATTTTTGTACATTCAGTTCTGCAAAATAAACATTAAAAGCGCTGGCCAACAATTCTACAAAACGTTACACGATGGAAACAATTTTGTAGAAAGAATAGAAGCAATACCAACACAGTATGATAAACAAAAATGAAAATAACACTAAATTAAAAAAAAATAGTGTAATTTTCACCCGTTATTTGTTTTTTTTTCGTTGTTGACTTGTTGACTGTTAAAGTTAAAGTTACTTCATCATTTACTAATAAATTATCTTTTTTTAATTTTGTGTTTTTTACTGTGCTATCTTGATAATTCAGTACACGTCAAGATTTTTTATAACGACACCTGAAAGTTTACTTTTATGCTCCAGTTAATTATTAAAACATGTGAAGCTTTTCAAATGAGATGCTACATTCATTATTATTTAAAACAATATATAATAGTTATAATCGACTCTAACTAACTATTTTGATGAAAATTTCTATAACTAGTCAGTAGTACCTATCATCTTGTAGGAACAACCGTTCCCACAAAATCACGTGTTCGACCGAAACTCATTCATAATTTATGTAAATCTCTACAAATGTAAATACATCCTATCTTTCGTCTACCTGCCCTATGCTCCTACTTTCTCATCTACTTTCTAGAATTTTCTAAACTCTTTCTTTACCGGCTTCCCCCTCTCCAACACCGAACTTACCTGTCGACATTTCAAACACCCTTCCAAAACTTCTCCCTCGAACTCTCAACCGTAAGCAACGAATAAAAATCTGAAAACCGTAACCGTCGCCGTCGCTATTTCTAAAAATCACCAATGATACCCATAATCTTTTAAAAAGAATGGCCTTTATATTTTTGAATGTGACTGCAGAAAACTTTTCTAGAGAACCAATAGCTGCACATTCGATATGCTTATTTTTAACATTTCACACTTTTTGTATATTCACGATGTTTTAAATACATCAGTAATGTACAAAATTCGATAGAATCACAAATAAAATGTCAATTAAGAATGTCCACTAAACATAATGTTACATATCACACTTGGATGCCAAAATTTCAACGAAATTAGATCAACCTTTACTAGGAAAACATAAATAAAGTTTAATTAAATGTAATCGCCGAAATAAACTCAGAATTAGTATACACGTATTTTTTAAGACTACTCTTCTAAGCTAGAAGTTAAAAATGTGTGGATTAATTATTATTATTAGTTACTACGTAATCACCAACTGGCAAATGAGTTTTTTAACTATACATTTCAAGCAAGATATATTGAACAAGATATTAAGATACTATCAGTTTTTTTTTTCAGAAAATAAATCTAGAAAATAGTTCATTACCATCTTTATAATAATTTGAAGGTACTATTGAAATTTCAAAGTAACTCTTTCATCAGTTTTAGAAAATATCTGTTTATTAAAATCGGGAACAAGTTGGAATAAAATAACGACTTTTGATATTTCAAAATATAATTTCGAAAAAGTTTATAGATTTATGGAACAGTAATTTTTTTATATGCTACACATTTAAAAATACATTTGAAAATCGTTGGTTAAAGCTATTTGAGACACGATGATAGTAGTATATTTTTGATGACAGTTTTTAAAGAGGGAAAAGTATTTATAATTCTGTAAAGTTCTTTCCACCTAACCGCAATAAATGATAAATAAGTAAAATTACGGAAAATTTACATAAAATAGTAACTACTAAAATTTGATATGTGCAGATATATCTAAAAATTGTGTCGCCATTTTTAATAGAATGGCGATCTTAATATTTAAATGAAAAAAATGACCTGGAATGTAAAACTGACATGGTTAAAATACAATATAACATAGACAGATTTTGAAAAATTATAAAATTTGATTTCACCCCTATCGATTTAATAAATGAATTGGCTCATTCATATTTTTTTCAGTCACCCTGTACAAGCAATTCTAAAAAAATGTCAAATATGTTGATAAACCCCAAGTATAGATAATAATATTTTGCACATTTTAGATGCAATTTATTTGACAAAATTTTGAGATAACCTCATGACTTTTTTGGAGAAGGGATAAACATATAACTTTCGATTAACGATTTACAATGTTCACGACAACCTTATGAAAACGTCTGCAAGATTACATTCGGTTTATACAATTTTTTTTTTCAAAAATCTGGATGTCTAGGGTAAAAAATCAAGACGAATTTATAAACCACAAATGTAGGAGTAGGAGAATTTAAATAAAATTTAGTATGCAAAAATTTTGAGGTAACGTCGTCACATTGTTCGTGTGATGATTAAACAAATTTTTGTTATCGTCTTACCACCTACACGATATTAATAAAATACATATAAAAATTATTATATATACTTAATTATATATTATTTTAATTAATTTAATTATTCCAATTATTCTAATAAATATAACACACCCTGGAAAGTATATTTCCAGGAAGTTTAGGTAGCCGACTAGAAAGGGTACAGTAGTTGCAGGTGCGCTACCTGTATAGGAAAAATGTACAGTTAAATCCATTGTAAGAACAGGTAGCTCGGCTCCCTTTTTGGGTATAAAAGGCCCGTATTTTGTATATACTTGATCTGTTGTCTTGTGTCCGTTGCCGAAGTAAGTTCCGTGTAAATAAATCAACAAAAACCACAAGTGTTGTTTTTTATTCTCGCCACCCAACAAAGCGGAATCACGGCGAATGAAAAGCACTAACATATGGTCCTTCGAGCCGGATGTGTAAATACACGAATTTAGTGATTCGATCAGCAATGTCGCGACATCATAACTAAGTGATACGCAACACGTGAACATACAACGGGCACATCAACATATCAACAGCAACAAGTATCAGGTGAGTGGTTCGTTTCCTTTCCAATCCTTATTATAACCAAAAAACACACTTTTTTAATCATAAATCAGTTAGGAAATGGCGCCCACTTTAGATCAATTAATCGTTAAAAGAACCACGATCAAGTCAAAATTTACACGAATTCAAACTTTTGTTAATTCATTCAATGCAAACTCTAATATTCATTTATTAAAAACGCGCGTAACATTAGCCAATCAAGCATTTCAAGAATACAACAGTATACAGGATGAAATCGACTTGTTATTAGATAGATCCGACAAGGCGCTTGTCGAAAAACATTTAGAATATCGCGAAGAAATCGAAAATAAATATTGCGAGATAATAGCTACAATCGAATCAAAAACTGAAAGTCGCGACGATGCACAAACGTCTAATTCAGGTAATCACGCACCTTTTGCATATCTTCCTCCAATCGCACCCATTAATATTAAACCATTTTCGGGTTGTTATAAAGAATGGTTAACATTCACTAACACGTTCAAGTCAATTATCGAAGACAATTCTTACAAACTAACCGACTGTCAACGGTTCCAGCATTTAAGATCGTGTTTAGAAGGTGAAGCAAAAAGGTCAATCGAACAGTTAGAGGGATCCGACGAAAATTATCAAGAAGCGTGGAAAATTCTCGAAAGCAGATTTAAAAACACGCGACTAATCGTACAGGATCATATTTTATCCATATTAAAACTACCTACTTTGTCTAAAGCGTCACATTATGCAATTCGAGAACTTTTAGATACTATAATCAGAAATGTCACAGCCTTAAAACAATTAGATATTAAAATAGACGAGTGGCACGCGCTAATCGTCCCAATCATAATCGAAAAACTAGACTATGTCACAATTAGAGACTGGCAAGCTACGTTGGACAAAGATGTTCCGACCTATTCATCGTTAATCATATACTTAGAAAAACGGTATAGAACATTAGAATCAATCAGTTTAATTAATAATAAAACGAACACGCCTCAAACTTCTAATGCAAACCAAAGTATTAACAAAATACCAAGGGCCGTAGCTCATGTAGCTACAAACAAAGACAGCAATTGCCTTTACTGTGATAAAATTCATAGTATATATCATTGTCCAGAATTTCGAAATTTAAGCTCACAACAAAGATTTAATTTCACTAAAAAATTGAATTTATGTACTAACTGTTTTCGAAGCAATCATAAAACACAGACTTGTTTTTCAAAATCAAGATGTCGCGAATGCGGAGAAAAACATCATACACTTTTGCACCGCGATGGACCCGAAAACAG